CAAAAAAAAAAAAAACGTCACAGAGAAAAAATAGCAATGAGGAAATATTTTAATTATGAGATGCAAATCATGAGCTTAGTAGTTTTTAGTAAAAAGGAAATACCATATATTTCTGTGTTTGACAGCCGTTAACTTTTGGAACTTTTTTTAAAGTGAAAGTATATACAGAAAGTATACACTCAGCTTACATACGGATTCGCTTATCTCGGGAAAAATAGTTTAAGAAAAACGGTTTTATAACATTTTCCGTTAGTTATGATCAACTATTTTAATCTGTTAACTTTTTTAATATTTTTAACGGAACTTTTATTCTCAAAGAAGAAAAAAAAAACTCACACAAATCCTTCAGTGTCATAATAGATCAACATAGATCGAAGATCACGTGTCATATGCGAATTTACTCTTCCGGTTCATTTTTTAAACAAAATAAATAGTGCAACAAATATGACTAGCACAGGTTGTACAAATGTGTTAGCTTCAAATAAGGATTTTAAAAATAAAACTATCGTCTTTAGAATTTTACTTAACAACAATTTAATTGGAAATCTACAGTTTTTTTTTAAATCCGACTTACACACAAATTATGAATTTTGGATAAATTCTTGAAGAAAAAATACATTCTCGGTGTACACATGCGTCGGCTTATATTCGGAAATATACGGTAAGTATAATATAAAAAAAAATGTATAGTGTAAAACAAAATAATGCGCGCGCGTTTTGAATTTTTTTTATTTTACTATCAAAAGTCGACTTAGCACGGTCCGAAAGTTGCGGGTGTGAGAGATTTCGAGGAAAATGCAGACATAATCATAAAATAGATAATTTTATTCCAGCTTTAGTACTTTATGCAGAATACAAATTAATAACTTAAGGTACCCGACTATTTGCGACAATTTTTTTTTTTTTAAAAAAGGAGATATGGAATTTTTGTGAGGTTTTGGATTTGTTTAGTACATTTTAAGAAAAATATACTGAGATTATTATTGCTAAAATGGGAAAAAATCGTAAAAATTGACAAAAAATAACCTAAACGGGCCCATTCTGTATCAAAAGTTTATGAGACCAAATTTTAAATTTTTCATATCTGATGCGTTGCTATCTAATTCATTTTTGAAATGACATTAAGGGTAAGAGATATTTTAACTCTTACAAAAACTAGAGCACTTTATCTTAGTTATTATATGAAATTGCTTAAAAAACAGTGGTTATATTCACATAAGGGACTGTAAATTTTGTAATAAAACAGTGATTGATAAATCTGAACGTTAAAACACTTGTACAATTATACAGAACATATAAAAAAATTTTTATCTATAGTGTATTATTTTCAAAACTTTTTTAACAATCGCTGTCCCCGTTTGAGCCTCTTAAAAAATACATTTCGAGTTAAGCGCATTTTAAAGTATGAAATCTTGCTTAAAGTAATGATATATGCATTTACTAAGTCACTTGTTGTTTTTGTGAACGAAAAACAATAAATTTGGTATTTTTATGATGTTAGTAAGATGGTCTATAAAATGAAATCATAAAAAAATTGTCAATTTTTGGCAAAAATTCACAATTTTAGGGGAGTTAGATACCTTAACTCTGTCAGCAATAAGAAATCCTAACCCGTAAGCGGATAACTAGATCATCGAAAGTAATCTGAACTTCCTTATTATGATCCTTCTTGAAGCCTGATAGTATGGTCAGCTCCAAGGTGGGTTACGAAACCACTTCCTGATAGATTATCCATTGACTATTAATCTTAAGATCCCTGATCAATACACACAGTCGCTGTTTACGTATACTAACAATTGGAATTCAGTTTAACTATCATCACTTAACCATTAACTCGCATACTCAACGACAGGCGCTTAACCCGTGATCACTCGCGCGGAGTGTTCTCTACACCCCGGCAATAATATAAAGTTAATGTATTTTAAAATGAAAATTTTGTAGGTTTAGTTTAAATTAATGTTAGTCACATTTTTACGCAATAAATTTAATAATTTTATTTGTATAATACAAAAAAACAACAACTTGTACTTTATAAAAATGTATCATAATTGACTAATTTTTTTTTCATATTTAAATACACGTGTTAAAAGTTTGGGGTATTCTCTACACCCCTCGAGTAACGACGGTAGCAAAAACGGGCGTGAGTGACTGCGGGTTAAATAGTAGTTACATTTACCTAAAATTAAGCCATCTCTACGGAAAGCGGTTTTTAAACTAACATGACAGCTAAAGAATATTTTCCCCAATAGGATTAGTAGAAGATTCGAATAGAAACCGTTACAAACTGTAAAGATATTTTACATCAGCAAATTTCTTTAAGTATTATTTCAGTGCACTTAACTACATTAGCTTAAAAAATATATAGTAGTAATTTTGTAATCTAATTTTTTAGTTAACCAGAAATGGAAATCATTATGGCTTTTTTTTTAAATTTGTCTCCAATTTTAAAATAGTGACTTTTTTCAAAAAAGAAATCAGTTGATTTTTCTAACAAAACCCAACTATGATTTTTGTTTGACAGTAACTTGTTGTAATTCTTTCGAATCTCTTTATCTATTGGAGAAAAATGGCTCATTCACTCACCACGAGAGCTCCAGAACTATTACATTCATAGAAGTGAAATTTTGCAAGGATGTTTCTTTTGTTAAGTAGAGATCCGCTAAGAATGGGTTATGGAAAGATCCCCCCCAAATGGGGGGTGAAAAAGATTTACAAAAATGCTACAGCTAATAGAACTACCTACATACTTGAAATCTGACGGGCATGTTTCATTCATTGAGCTGAAATCAACTAAAAACGCGTTTCACGGAAATTAGTCCCCCCCCCCGGAGAGGGGAGGGATTTTGGGAATATAACAGACAAAAGTCAAAAGTTCCTGTTTTTGAACTGTAAGTCCTACACATTTGAAATTTGTAAGCATATTTCTTTTATTCAGCAGATATCAGCTAAGAATGGGTTGTGTGGAAACCAAATCCCGAGAGGGGTTGCAAAGACATAATAGAGAAAAAAAATTCTCGTTACAATTAGTACAGAAAATATATCTTTCTATAGAAAAAAAAACATTTAAAACTATTTTGGACCATTTTACTATTCATAAATGAAAAAAAAACTATGCGTTACCATCCGAAATTTAATTAAATTTACAAGGCATACTTTTCATATTTCTCAAAGCTGACCTCAAGGGAAAATATTATGGTAATAGATAAAAAAAAATATTCTTGTACTTAAGATTTTCAATTTTTCAACTGATCAAAAACAAAACTAACCATTCACTGAATAAACCGGAATAGTTTGTGCAAGAATCTTCACCATTATTGGATACCCATGGGGCTAAAAATGGTGATTCCTAAAATTCTTGCTACCGGCATTCCTTTGATCACTTGGCGTAAGTTCAATGGAATTTTTAGCACTGTTTCATTGCATTCGCGCCATGAATCGTACATTTTTAACTTTTAAATCCCAGAACGCATTGAAACTCGATAATTATACAGGAAAGCTCATTTGAGGAAGATACTAGTATGCGATTTCAAAACAGCATATTTCAACTCTATGATTATTAGATTAAAAAGAAACTACTCTTCTGTGAAAACAAGATTAGATTTAGACTCGTGCTATGTGAATGTATTTATATCGAGAAAAAATAAAGAAATTATTTTCCTCCTTAAAAATTCACACTCATAATTTACTTCTCAACACTCTCTGTTCTATAAGTCCCAACTGTTAATTTTTCATTTCTACTTCTTTAAGTTAAGTTATAATTTGCTTTTCATAATGCAATTTCTCTTGCTAGACGTGTAATGTACTTAACAGTAAAACAAATATTGCTTTGAAAGGATTTAGTTTTGTTTTCTTATTTATGTAGTACTTTCATACGACTCGAGCTTGTAAACTCAACCAAATTATTTACTGAAATCCGCTTAGCCTTAACTTTTATTAAAAAGGTAGGGATAGATTTGTTTATTAAATTCTTTGAATTATTTTTATTTATCAGTAAGTGAATAAGGTAATATGTGTAGCTTGAGATTTAGTTTCTAGCTTCTTAGGTTAAATGTGATCAAGGAAAGAGGGGATTTTATTACGCTATTTATGAGGAAATATTGGATTTATATTGCTCTAAATTTCTGTTAAAACATGAAATAATATCAGAAAGAAGACAGCTTGTGAAAGAAATTCGGTAAGATCTTATTTTAGTTCATACTTTAGTTTATCGCCAAATTGGCACATTTTTATTCGTATATAGGATAGAAGTACAAAACAGAAAAATGATCAGTTGGCGCAGTTTGTTTTTCTACATTAACAAAGGTGTGGGATTTCACAATAAATTCTTCATAATAAAAAAAAATTAGTTATTGGTGTAAGTATTTTTTATACATATCTGATCCAAGTGAACCGAAATTGAATCTGTTAAATAAGGACACAATATAATTACGTTGATGAACAGTTTCATCGTTTCATTGATTACGAATCATTGATGTTTTAAGCGATCAGTTCACAAATTCAGTGTAAAAGAATACCGTTGGGAGCCTATAAAAATATCAATTATTGATCTTTGAGTCCTAAGTTTTGAAAATTTTGAGTTTTTGAAACATGGCAAATGAGAATCGAAAATGAAAGATAGGCATTTGAATCCAATAATAAATAAATAAATAACAGTAGTACTATATTGAATATTAAAATATATATTTATTTAACTATATTGAATTTAATAATACTTAAATAAATATAAAATGTTTTTTTAATTCTTTCTATTATATTCACACTCTCTCTATATATTAATTTATATGGATATATCTTGTTCAAATTTATAATCGTTAATTAAATTCTTTTTATTCCACTCAAGTTCAAATATATTTTTTAAAACTTGTAGTGGATGACACACACACATTTGATGTTAACACAATTTTTTCAAATATTGATTCATTAATTTTATTTAACTAATGAAGAAAGAGTAACAAAAATAATTGTACAACACCATATATAAAAAGAAAATCGCTCGTTGTGTCCCTGTAGACTAATGGATAGTGCGTTGGACTTCTAATCCAAAGGTCGGGGGTTAGTATCCCCCTGGGATGGCTTAATGTCTGAGAATGTGATTTCTTTTTACTGTACTTTTTATTGGAATAATTAAATTTAATAAATGAATAAATAGTAACATGCACAAAAATAATAGTCTAACACCATATATAGAAAGGAAAATGGAAAGATGCAAGGAAAATTGTTTTCTATTTTACCATTTAATATTATGATTCTGTCATATGTATATATATTATATTAATTATAATTATTTAATAAAAAGCAACTAATGTAAAATTTTTCTTTGTTAACCTAGGTAGGAATTGATTTTAATTTTTTTTTAATGTTCCCTGTTTTTGTATATGTATATCTAGCTAAAGAAATACGAATATATACATATAGAAAATTATTTAAATATACAATTCACATGAATAAAAATGACTAGCAAATATTAATAGCACAAAATTTTCTTCAACTTTCTTATTCCTTTTATTTTACAATCTATTTTATGAGATATAAAAAAAAATCTTACAATTTTTTATGCATAATGTACATTTTCATCCAACTCTTTTTTCATATATCTTACACTACATAGCTGCATCATTGAATAATATTTCTTTATAAGAAATTCTGTCTACAAGCATTCTAAAAGGAAGTTTTTCATTAGATATTCCTATCTAAATTTGTCATAGACAGCTCTTGCAAAACATATATACTATGTATAAAGAACAGGAAAAATAGAACAAATAAAAACTAAACCCAAAGAAACGGATCAAGGGATATTTGTGTGAAAGGGTTCTCTACCAGATCTATAGTTCCATCCATTTCAATACAACGCGGAATCCACAATCCTCGCCAATACTCCCGAGACTTGCAAGAGCGAATAATATTCAGAGAATAAATTGTGGAGCATAGAAAGTCATAGATTTATTTTCTCAATATAAAATAAGATGCAAACGAAAGATTTATTTATTTACCTACAGTGATACTGCACAGAATAGAGCTGCAATTTTTGCTATTTATAGAAGGCAATAAATCCATTTCTTGAATGATAACAACAAAGAGGCATATACAGACATATGTCTTTGCATATATATACCATCATTTGATAGCTATTTGAAAAAAATAATTATTATAAATCTGTAAATATGCATTGTTATAATACGTTTTCTATGAGTTTTTCTATGAGAAAAAGCTGCTGTTTATATTTTAAAATATAAAATCCTTTCCAAATATGTAAACAGAACAGGTTTTATTTAAAAAAGTAAATGTATTATAGAGAATAATATGTTTGATCACAATAACATTATTTATGTGTGTAAGCTTTCCTTAACAAACATGGACGAGCAAAATTTTCATTAGACCTTTCATAGAAATTGAAGCCAATTCGTTCTCTGAACCTTTCATTCCGAAAACACATAACATAACTACTATACTAGTATTGAGGTTGTTACTGGTTTATATAGGTACTACCTCCACACGCTCCTCTACCAGGGAATTGGTAAAGCGGACGAACAATATCGTTGTTATGGTGAGCGTGTGAGCTGTTGCGTCACTAGGTTGGGACGGCTTTTGCTGGTATCGTCAGTAGTGCGGCACGGCATTTCTGGTTGCATCATTCATGTGAGACGGTTTTGCTAGTTGCATCATTCATGCGAGACAACTTGTTGATTGCGTCATGTGTCTGACGGCTTTGGTTGGATTTGCTGTGGATAGATAGCCCAACGACTGCTGCGCGAAGGTTACGTTTGTTCGAAGTACCCAGGATCTCCAATGAAGGCGATTCGATATCGGTACCTTCAATTCCGTAAGCACGAAACATACCGCTAGACCAAAATGATCAGTTCAATTCAGAGGTTGTTACTGGCTTATATAGATACCTCCGTCACAAAATCATTAAATTTTTTTTTAAAGGATTAAAAATCAAAATAAAAAAAAGGTATTTATATTTTTGAAAAAAGGGGTGAAAAAAAGCAGCAATTTCGAAACTGTGTCATTTAGAAAATATGTCCCTCTTCCTCTGTTCTTGAAAATATTTCACTTTATAGTAAATATCAAATTAACATCTCAAGGCCTCACATGACCCTTAAAGTTCAGTTTTTTCAATTTTTTGAAGAAAAAAAATATGTTAAAGCCTTAACGTTTTTGAGCATTTGCTACCAAAGTTTTGTTGAAAAGGGGAAACTTCCGAAGTTATTGAGAAATAACTGATAAACGCAAACAAAAACTTGCATATACCCCACTCACTTTTGACAGCTGGCAGAACACATTCCAAACATTTTAATATTTCGGGGATTAATTTTAGTAAAAGAACCATGCCTAATATCAAATTGATTATGTACGGGAGTAGCATGATTGCAACTCAACTTTCAACTTTGCTTTATCTGAGCGGGATTGGTTATTTACCTTTCGATCTTGGAGAAATTTCATACACATGTTCAAAATAAGGTTCTTTATAACTTAGTGAAAAAATTTCAAACAAATTTTAATAGAAATTTTTTTATTTGAGATATAATTGAATTTTTTCATAAAATTTTAAAATGTCCTTCATAATTGTATTTTAAAGATATTTTTTTCCCTCTAAATGTTTTAAAAGTTAATATAAGTTCAAAAGGAAACATATTTACACCAAATAAAATTAATTTTGTAAATTTTAATCAATTTTATGCTTCAGAATCCTGCGTGGTGTAAAATACTAATTTTCCTATTTTTGAAAAATTACCAAATTTTTATTTCTTTATAACTTTTTAATTTTTTATTCAAATTTTCTGAAATTATGAAAAATAATGCATGTGTATTGGATACTCATGTGGTAAAAATTTCAAATTATTGTTTTGTTATATTGCTAAGTTACGTTGTTTTAAAAAAGATGTTTTTTCGAGTTCACGAATAACTTTTAAGAGTCATCAGACCCCTTAAACGGTCAATTTTTTTGCCCAAAATGTTAAAAAAAAGGCTCATTTTTTTATTGCATATAATTAAGACTAATGCTTAACAGATTGCGAAAATGGAAGAATTTTATTTTAACTTTCCATTTTAAAGTTTCCACATTATTTTTAATTTCATAGTTGTGGAATACAAACCCCCTAAGATGTTTTCTTTTTTACAAGTACACTCTGCAATATGCTATGAATAATGTTTATATATCTTAAAAGAATATATCTCATACTTACAAAAAAATTTCATGATCGTACCTATTTTTCAAACGGTTGAGGATTTTCTGAGTGAGTGCATATATATATGCGCACACGAATTGAAACTTTGTGTAATACTAAGTCTTTTGCATTGCAATGGGGACAGAAATAGCATCGTCTTTCTGGATTATCTTTCTATTTTCATTTTTCTCAAGTAAAAATTGCACCTTGCCTTACTAGTCCCTGTTCTTCATTGAATATTTTCAAGAATCTAAATTCCTGTCTACAATGAAAAATTCCAGTCTTCACCACAAAGAAAATACCGGATGAGATGTATTTCAGTACGAAGGACAATTTGCATCTCTAAAAAATATTATCATTAGTAATCTCACTATAAGGCCTAAAAATATGTGCAAATCAAAGATAGAAAGAAGAAATATCAGTGCCTGTACAACGAACGAACAAAACTGGTTGTAACCAGATTGCAGTAGCCCGTACGATGTATGGGGAAATTAGTTAAGGGTTAATAAATATATTATTCTGAAAAACCAGTTTCATCCAACAAAGACTAAATCTGTGAGGGATTTATTCTTTTTTAGCCATTCTTCTTTATCTGGCGATTTAATTTTCATTCTACAGTTACAGTTAATTAAGTACCTAACTGTATTATTTGATATACCAGGTGAGCACAATTTCATGCTCTGAATTGGATCACGTCCTAAAAAATGAATACGATCAAATCCCATTATAGCTGTGTTGTGGTTTGGAGTAAGAGTACAACGGCTTAGATTTAGAATTATTTCTAGCTTCTCAAATTATATAGCTGTAATTTGTGCTATTTTTATTTCAGTTAGATAATTATTCTGCTTTATTTCTGAAGCTGAGAAAGAGTAAAATTATTCATTTACTAAAAAATTATCTTCATGATCTTTTGTGAGCTTGATTTTTCTATAAATTTGAACGCTTTGAAAGACATTCAAAGTAAAACTAGTTAAGATAAATTTACGAATGAAAATCAATATACTTAGTAGAAATAGAATAGAGTAACTAAATAATTTACATTACGCACGATTTCATCAATATAGATAAAAATGTTGCATAATAATAAATTGAAAATATGTGAATCCGATTGTTGAATTGTATCAACTGCTCAACATAAAAAATACTCAGAGAGTGAAAATATGAACTAAAAACATAGAAACAGACGTCTTTTATGTATGGAAAAAAATTAATTAAAATTAAGCTAGAAGTGTAAAAATGATTTATTTTCAAAGGAGGCGGAACATATTGTTGGGCTTATAGTATATATCGAACGAATGTAACGAAAGAAAATTCATAATAAGTGTTACATTGTTGAAAGAAGAGCAAACGTTTTACACTGCTGGCCACCGTAAATGCAACACCAAGAAAGACAAAATATAGCACAACAAAATTTATTTTGTAGATAACATGTTGACCAAGTATCAAATGATTAAATTTATAGACTAAGGTGAAGTGTATTTCCTGCCAGAATCAGTGCCAGAGTAGCCACCATTGTTGGAGATCTCCGCTGCCACACGCCTCGGCATTGATTCAAAGAGACTTTGGATGTGTTCTTGGGGTACAGCAAACCAAGCAGCTTCCACACGTTGCCAAAGTTGATCTGGTGTGGCAGTTGGGGGTGTAATCTGCGTCAATCACTGAGCAACCATGGACCACATGTTTTCTATCGGCGAAAGATCCGGAGAGCAAGCCAGCCAGGGAAGCAATTCAATCTGGTGATTGACGAAGAACCTTTGGACAATGCGTGCCATGTGCGGTCACGCATTTTCCTGTTGAAATATGGCTGTGACCGAGCCCTGAAGGTAAGGAAGGACAACTGGCTCCAACACCTCGAGATGTAGTGCTGGCTGTTTAAAGTACCTGCAATGCGTACTAGAGGAGTG